AAAAAATGTTGCTTTATTTATCTGACCATATTGGAATGTATTTGTTAGGTTTTCAGTCAATTAAATTTGGTTCAATAAACAATATGTGGTCATTTTTAAAATTTTCAATGAACATTCGATCAGTCTGGCCCTCGGCTTGCAGCAAAAATTTTTATCTGGCCCTCCGTCCATTTGACTTTGACACCCCTGACTTAGACTGTCTCAGAAGTGTTTGTTATTTATTCCTTTGTTGTGTATTCACAAACGAGGAAATCACAAAATACATTCTGTAGCCGCCCTATCGCTTGATTTTCTCTTTTGATGCATTATTTTCAATTTTCGTAGTTTCATTGAAGGAATCGTTAATTTAGGTTTTTCGGAGGCGGTCATGAACACCTCTCGAGTCGAACGGAAGAAGAGAAGGCACGGAGACGGACAAAGACGTACCCGTATTTTTTGAGACTGTGAAAACCATTAATAAAAGTGTGCGTTTTGAAAAAACAACACCACAGCTCTCCTTTTTTCGGAGCTGCAACAAGAACTTATTCAATAAAGCAGCGACACAGTTCACTGAACCAACAGCAAGTTATAACATTGTAAGCATGTCTCCAGCAAGGAGCCATTTTGGGGTCGGCCTATTACCGTAATGACCATACAGAAGGCGCAGCGGATTTTAAGGCACTCTGTGACCTTTTAAGAAAATGGAAGACTTTTCGGTGCGCCTTACAGTGCGGAAAATACGGTATATAGAGATGATATGCATATATATGAGGCTCACAAATTCGCTGGAGTCTGTCACAGCTGACTTTAGGCAAGAGGTAGGGTATAGTCTGGAGTTATCGCCAGCCAATCCTCGGGCACATATAGAGAAACAGCCATTCACACTGACATTCAAAGCTCGGCACAGCTCAAGAGTATTCACCTAAGATATGAAGCATTTTTTTCGAATGTTGGTGCAAGCTGGAGTTCCTGAAGAAAACCAATGCAAGTATGGGAAAGAGATGAAAACTGTACAAAGAGCCAGAGCCCAGATTCAAACCCCAACCTTATAATTGTGAGGCAGATGTGCTAACCATGCAACCATCGTGCCTCACCTACTGAGTATTCAATATTTGCCATGGTGCATATGAATGTATGTATTTTCTTTCTGCTTACCAGGGGCAGCATGGCAGAGGCACTCGGGGACACCTGCCCTCTGTAGTAGTTGTGGAGCTCCACCAGCAGCTCTTCCTCCTCACTGAGGAGGCTCCAGGCTCCAGGAGCCAGCAACGTGCTCAGCAGCAGCCAAGCCCACAGAGGAGCACCTGAGCCCTTGGAAAAATTGGACACGCGCCCCCTCCTCGCTGGCACCTGCCTGACCTTCTGTAGCTGTAACGTGACCTGCAGTTGCATGTTGGAAAACAGAGTCCTGGGAGTGTTGGAGGAGGGTCCGTCCAGAGGTGTCTTTGTGTGCGTGCTGTGTGCGTGTGTGTGCGTGCTGTCGTCTCCAAGGTGCAGATGTGTGATTTGATCGCCCCCACAGCAGCTTTAAGCGCAAGGGTCCTTCCCACAGGCACACACACGCATATTGCATCCTCCTCTTCCTCCTCCATCACCCCTCCCTCTTCCATCAACTGAACATCACAGTCGCAACATGCCATGCAGAATTTACACAAAACCCAATTTAGCCGCATATTTAAGTAACTGTGTGATTACTCACAGCAATGCAGCATCTTACATTCAAATTATTACATGGCATCTGCAGCAGTGTCTAGTGTCATGTATGAACTGATTTTGCTTTTAACACAATGAAGAAGGAGAGAAGGTCAGTGTCGGGTGTCTTTGCTCCAACCCAGGCTAATACCTTACATAAAAATTTCTGTCTCAACAGTGGGGAAATCTGGTGGTTGATTTCAACACTCCATGACATTTTGGTACCCTTCACGCAAGATCGATGAAAAATCTTGGTTCTTCACTTTTCTTTGTTTTTGGGATCATGGCCTGATTCTTGATTTGTTCTTGGCTTGGTTCTTGGTCCTGGACTTGATTCTTGGGATCCTACTTGATCCTGACTTGGTTCCACAAACTATCAGACTAGCTGGCTATATTACTCACCCTTGCCATGCAAGTTGAGTTGGCCGTGATGTAGTTCTCCTTTCTGTTGACATCTATTATTTAGACTAATTTTTGCGATCCTTTAAAGATGGTCAGCTTGTGTACACAATGCGCATCCTGATTATGTCATTTTTGTTTACAAACTAGAAATGGGTTGACAGATTTATTTTTAGGCTAAGTTAAGTCATTCTGTTTTGGATTTTAATTTGGTTTCTGATCTAGTCCTTGGTTTTTGGACTTGGTTCATTGTTTCCTGCCTTTTAACTTCGGCTATGAGCATACTTCAGGTCAATTCCGATTTGTGCATGTGTGTCACACATGGACGCACTCTGTTCACATTCAAAGTCACATTTGTTTTTGCAATGTGAATGAGTAAAAATTAAAAAAAAAATCGGATTTAACAATAAATAAATAAATCCAAATTTGGTGTCATGCCGTACGTTGCCTTCTGAGTAATCAATATGATTAAAATTCAATTAAGCAAGTCAATAAAGAAGATAAATCACACACACAAATACACACACAGTGTATATTAATGTGATAAAGGACAACAAGAACAACTCAAAAGAGAAGAACCACAACAAAATGTGACTGAATCACATCCAGGATGTTCTAAATGTTCCTAAGCTGCAGGGTGGAGTCACCAACATAAACAGACACGACATGTGCAGTCATTTATTCGATTCACACGTCATGAGAGCGCCTGTGCGTTTGCGTGCGTGCATGTGTGCGTGGTGAGCAACCAGCATGCGAACCTTGGATGGAATTCCCCTTGAGTCACAATGTGAAAATGATGAAAACACACGCACACACACACGCACACACACACACACACACACACACACACACACACACACACACACACACACACACACACACACGCATCATGAGAAGACTATGCAGTATTGTGTGAGCCTCGCCCTTGTGAGTTTGTTACCATTGACTAGTTGCTAATGGCTAACAGATGATTGTGTGTACGTGTATTAATGGCTTCCTATGCTTTTGTCCTTACAGGACTACAATTCAATCATGCATGTTTTGACATGCTGAGTGTGCGTGTGTGTGTGTGTGTGTGTGTGTGTGTGTGTGTCTTGTGTTGGGGTCAGGGGTCCGCAGCTAAAGAAGATTCACATCACAAAATTTACAACAGACACATGTTGTGAAATGTTAAAACCAAAAAAATCTTTTCCCTGATGCCTCCTCCGTTAAGAACTCGACTCTATTCTAAAGTGTCAAACTAGGCGTTCACATCCAGTGCTCATGAGAGCCTGATGAAGATGATGATGTCATGGCTGTGGAAGCTGACGCCTCCTTAGAGACCATGTCAAACATTTCAGCAAACATCTGGACCAGTGGACCCCAACCCAGGACCTGCTTTCACTTGACGCTTGCTCAGCCCACATATCCAAGACCAAAATATGTCATGGTCCTTCACCTTTACATGCTTGTGCTGGTTGGAGGAAGCTCGTCTGCTGCGATAAAGGCATCAGCTCTCCCCACCCCAAACTGAGCTGAAGAAGCATAGCCCAGTTTTGTGTTCCACTTGACCAACATCTCTCTTTTGATGACTAAATGTGTGATTTCGGGCTACAACTCATGATTATTTAAAATATCGATTCATCTATTGACTATTTTGAGGATAAATTGATTACCGTATTTTCCAGACTATAAGTCGCTCCTGAGTATAAGTCGCTGAGTATAAATTTCTTCCCTCTCAAGACAACATGCAACAAGAATCAAAAATCTTGATTGAGTTACTAGCTTGGCTAGTGACACGTCAAAAAAATCAGCAAAAACCCACAGCGAGATAACGCATCTTTGACCACCCAAAAAGTGTCAAAAGCTAGCTGGCACATTTATAATCGACCTTGTGCACACAATTTTTTGGTATTTGGGGACATGCTGAGGAATTTTCATCAAATGTGTACAATGTCGAGGAAAACTATACTGTACATCTGAGTAAAATTTGGGTCAATTCCAAAATTTGTGTTGTGTGTGTGTGTGGGGGGGGACAGGAGAGCCGTCAGCAAGCGCTATCGGAGCCTGATAATGATCCTGATCATTTGAATTAGGTGTGTTGCAGCAGGAAGACATAGACAACATGCAGGACCTTGAGGACCGGACTTTGACGCCTGTGCTCAAAACCAAATGACCAGTTGTCTCAACACATTTACCTAATCTAGCCATCATTTGCCAATATCATAAACATACTTCACATGAAGACACAATTCACAAAACACAATCCTCTGGTCTCATAAATCTAAACACATTTTTGCTTGCTAAAAAACAAGTTGCAAAAGAACTCTGCTCATATTCTCAAATGAAAGCTCACATGATGCAAAATGCCTGCCTTAGTCAGCAATATTTGAACACAGTGAACACACCTGGCGTCATTCATTGCACACGACGACTCAAAATTGAAGACACCTTTTGCTCATGCTGTGAGCACATGTATAAAAGCAAGTTCGGAATGCACAGTTTGCTGAAGATCCGAAACAAACAAAATGAATGAAGGCAGAGTCAGGGGAAAAGGATTTCAAGTCAGAGGAGAGACAGAAGCCGGCCATGGAGGGAGAAGAGCTGGTCAACGAGGAAAAGGAGGAGGCCCAGGAGGAAGAGCAAGATAACCTTGCACCATCATTGACCATATCATTGTCCCTGGCATGATCATGGCTGTAGCAGCACTAAGAGTCCATCCAAACCTGAGAAGGTTCACCGCAGCCACCATTATCAGGACATTCAGACAACACAACAGGCATTGTACTCTATTGCTGTCTTTTTCACAAGTCAGTTTCACAAAAATCAAAGAATACCTGACTAAATTCAATAAATTTAAAATAATTGCCATATCAGAAACCTGGCTTGACAAAGATAAAACAAGTGAAATGGAAATAGAAGGTTATGAAATGTTCGCAACTAATAGGGAAAACAAAAAAGGAGGGGGGGTTGCAATATATGTAGACAAAGCACTTAAATGCAGTAAAATCGAGAGATTGACAAACACAATAGAAAACCTAATGGAATGTTTAACCATTGAAATACATTATAAAAAGGCAACAAATATCATCATAAGTTGCATCTATAGGACACCAGGATCATGTATTGACACGTTCAATAAAAAACTAACAGATATGCTCAGCTACTACAACGATAAGAAAACACGAATAATATGTGGTGACTTTAACATTGACTTATTAAACCCAAATGGACACAAAAAAACAACTGACTTCATAAATACTATGTACAGCAACAGCCTTTTCCCAGTAATCCTGAAACCTAGCAGAATAACAGTTGACACGGCCACATTAATAGATAACATATTTATAAATAAGACTGATCATAAAATGGAAAGTGGACTTCTCATTAATGATATAAGTACATTACTTCTGAACAATGCTGTGCAGCTTGATTGACTATTGTTCTAAACAACTGTGCACTTTCACATTTTAACAGAGGATATTACAGTTGGGTGCGATGACCTCACAAGTACCTCTTCCTGGATGAGCCTGGCTTCAACTTGCAGAAACGAAGGCACAGAGGCCGTAACATCATTGGCCAAAGAGCCATCACTGAGGTTCCTGGACAACGGAGGGGTGATATTACTCTTTGTGCCGAGAAAGAACCTCCTAAGGGCAATGGAGCTGGCCTGCGTAAACATCCCAGTGGAGGCCTTCCAAGGATGAATTTGTCATTCCAGGGCGATGTGGATGAGGTGATGTGGCCCGATGCAGCACAGTGATTGTGGTGTGAATAAAGTAAAAAAAAAAAAAAAATCACACCCTGAACATGTTTTCAAGAGTACTGTTGTGTGGAATAGGTTCTGTTTTTGCATTGAGTTGTGTTACAGTAGTGTACATGCAGTGTTTTCTATAGATTTACACTCTTCATATGAAACTCTCAAATCTAAATGCGTAATCCTCGACAGCAGGGGTGTCAAACTGATTTTTTGTCGCTGGCTTCCCTCGGACAGCGGCTGCAAAATCTCAACGTTATTTATTACCCATGACAATTTGACATTTCGGTACAGATTTCAGCAAGAATCATGATAGTTGACACACATGATTTGCGCCCACGGGCCACATGAAATGACATGGGGGCTGGATCTGGCCCCCGGGCCTTGACTTTGACAAGGCTCTAGAGAAATCTCAGAACTTTTACCCTAAGGTTTCTAAAAATATGCATTGGCAGTTATGACACAAAGAACCTTCTCACAAATTGAGCATTGTGTTTTAAATTGTTTTGCTGTAGTGTGTAATGATGTGTATTGTGTTTACATTGACAGCTTTTAAGAAAATGGAAGGCTTTTAGGTGCACCTTTTAGTGTGGAAAACACGGTCCATGCAAAATGCGTGCTCTTAATATCTTTCATTTTTCATTATTTATTTCACGACACATGTATAAAAGATGCACCATCCTCAACCAACAACAAAGGGTT